AGAAGACAATGTCCAACCCTTTCAGTTAGAACATAGCCCACACACACCAATCCCTCCGTGGATGTGCTGGCTGGTGACAGGGGCCAACCACACCACCATGTAGTATGATTAATAAAACCCAGAGACAGATATTGGGGTTCAACCTGAAGGTCAGAAAAGCAAAGGTCAGCCAGCCACTGGCTCTTACCTCTACCTCAGACTGAAAAGGCGATTCTGCTTCCAGGAATCCTCAGAATGAGACTGAGTTGGGTGCTATCTCTTCCTGTTTTATATTCCTCTCTAGGGCTGGGATTAAAGGCATGTACCACCACCTCCCGGTCTCTATAGCTAATTAGCATAGCTACTGAGATTATAAGTGTGTGCCACCACTGCCTGGTCTGTATGGCTGACCAGTGTGGCTGTTTTACTCTCTGATCTTCAGGCAATACAAATTATTAAAATACAAATGAAATATCATTACACTTCAATGGGCTGTGAGGCTAGCTTTAGAAGGACCTGGATCCGCCCGGTAGTGGTGGTGCACGCCTTTAATCCCAGCACTTGGGAGGCAGAGAGTTAGGTTCTGTGAGTTCAAGCCCAGCCTAGTCTACAGAGAGAGTTACAGGACAGCTAGGGTGATTAGACAGATACACCTGTTTGGAAAAGAAGAAGAAGGAGGAAGAGGAGGAGGAGGAGGAGGAGGAGAGAAGAAGGAGAAGGAGAAGGAGGAGGAGGAGAAGGAGGAAGAGAAGAAGAAGAAGAAGAAGAAGAAGAAGAAGAAGAAGAAGAAGAAGAAGAAGTAGTAGTAGTAGTAGTAGTAGTAGTAGTAGTAGTAGTAGTACCTGGATAAGGAGGGTATTTCTAGAAGGCAAGAAAGGTCCACATCTGAATGTAGATGGCATTATTCCATGGGCCTGGGTGTGGAAAGAGCGTCTCAGCTTCCATCATGTGGACTGCTCACCTCTGCCCTTCCTGATGACGCCCTGAGCCCTCAGCAAACGTCAATCAATGAATGCTGCCTCCCTTAAGTTAGTTCTTCAGGTTTCTTGTCACAGTGACTAGAAAGGTTTATTGTAGCAACTTCCATTCAGAGAAACGCAGAGACACTGTATGCCCTACTGTGTGTCCTATGGGCCCTCTCTGAGGCCACCATTCTGGGCCAGCTCAGTTACCACTTTTTAATAAATAACTTTTTGTTTTGTTTTGTTTGTTTTTTGAGACTGGATTTCTCTGTGTAGCCCTGGCTGTCCTGGAACTCACTCTGTAGACCAGGCTGGCCTCAAACTCACAGAGATCCACCTGCCTCTGTCTCCTAAGAGCAGGTATTAAAGGGGTGCACCACCACTACCCTACCCAGCTAATGAATAACTACTTCACTGTAAAGTAATCCATAAATTATAAAGTTTGCATTTTTTGTATATACTTCGGCAGATTTTAGGACAGTTACAGAGTTGGGCCATCAGCCACTACCTTATTCCAGAACATTCTCGCCAATCAAAACAATAAGCAACAAGTCAGGCCAACAAGCTGGGACATACAGGTGGAAAGAGAAAGTCAACTCCAGAAAGCTGTCCTCTGACCTTGACACATGCATGGTGCCACAAATATGCATGCATTTGGATACACAAATAATAATAATAGGGGCTAGAGAGATGGCTCAGCGCTTAAGAGCACTGGCTGCTCTTCCAGAGGACCTGGGTTCAACTCCCAGTACCCACATGGGGACTCCCCACTGTCTATTACTTCACACAGATATATATGCAGAAAAAACACCAATGCACATAAACTAAAACTAAATAATCTAAAAAATAATAAATGTTAATTAAAAAAAAAAGAGGGACCAGAGAGATGCTCAGCAGTTAAGAGCACTTGTTGCTCTTGCAAAAGATCCCCAATTGGTTCCAAGCATCCTCTTGGTGGCTTACAACTATCTGTCTATCTGTAACTATAGTTCCAGGGGATCCAAGACCCTATTCTGGCCCCATGGGAGCTACATTCACATGGTGCACAACATACATACAGGCAAAAACTAAAACGCTCAAAATACAAAGAAATTTGCATCAGGTGTTAGTGTTGCGGGCCTTTAATCCTAGCATTGGGGAAGCAGAGGCAGGTGGATCTCTGAGTTCAAGGTCAACCTGGTCAACAAAGTAAGTTCCCTTCCAGCGCAGCCAGGGATAAACAGAGAAACCCTGACTTGAAAAACAGAACAAAAACCAAGCAAACAAAAATGCAGTTGAACCTCTGTATCATCTTATATCTGGCTTGCTTGGCTAAGCATAATATTTACAAGATTTCTCTAGGCTGTGATATTACACACACACACACACACACACACACACACACATTATTTTTATTTTTTTTTAAGATTAAATGTAGTAGCTTCTCTGCTATAGTTCCTTTCTTCTCTCCCTATTTTTTTAAAATAAATTCAGTTCTTGGTTTCCGTCTTTTTTTTTTTAAAGAATTACAGATGGGGGCTGGAGAGATGGCTCAGAGGTTAAAGAGCACTGCCTGCTCTTCCAAAGGTCCTGAGTTCAATTCCCAGCAACGACATGGTGGCTCACAACCATCTGTAATGAGATCTGGTGCCCTCTTCTAGCCTGCAGGCAGACATGCAGGCAGAGTACTGAGAATACTGTATGCAAAATAGATAGATAGATAGATAGATAGATAGATAGATAGATAGAATTACAGATGGTTGTGAGCCACCATGTGGTTGCTGGGAATTGAACTCAGGACCTTTGGAAGAGCAGGCAGTGCTCTTAACCACTCAGCCATCTCTCCAGTCCCTCTCCCTATTTTTTTTAAGATTTATTTATTATGAATACAATGCCAGAAAAAGGCATCAGATCTTATTACAGGTGGTTGTGAACCACCAATGTGGCTGCTGAGAATTGAACTCAGAACCTCTGGAAGATTAGTCAGTGCTCTTAACTTCTATGCCAAACTGCTTGTTTGTTTTTTGGGACAAGATACCTCTACACCTGCTGTCCAGGAACTCACTGTATAGACCAGGCTAGACTTAAACTCACAGTGATCTACCCCTGCCTTCTGAGGGCTGGAATTAAAGTATGCCCTGTAAGCCCAGCACTTTTGTTTTGTTTTAAGATTTATTTGTGGGGCTGGAGAGATGGCTCAGTGGTTAAGAGCATTGCCTGCTCTTCCAAAGGTCCTGAGTTCAATTCCCAGCAACCACATGGTGGCTCACAACCATCTGTAATGAGGTCTGGTGCCCTCTTCTGGCCTGCAGACATACACACAGACAGAACATTGTATACATAATAAATAAATAAATATTTAAGATTTATTTGTTTCTATGTATGTTTGCTTGCATGACTGTCTATGCACCTCATGTGTGTCTGAAGAGGGAGGCCAGAAAAGGGCATCAGATCCTCTGGAACTGGTATTGAGGGTGATTATGGGCTGCCTTGTGGGTGCTAGGAACTAGACTGCTTGCTTTTTACTGTAGTGCCGTCCATTCTCGAAAGCTCCGGAGTCATAACGAAGCTGTGTTCAATAGGAGCAGTGGTTTGAACCTTCCAACTAGTAAGCACCCAGTCTTCTCGTCAAGCCTTTCTGTGCCCACCATGGTCATGTGATAATCTCACAATGACAATGGATTAATTTCCCTGGAGCCTCTCTTGTGGGCTGGGAGGTTCAGAACATTTTTCTTACACAGACCACGGCCATTAATCCTTAATCCCCGAGTTCCCTACAATGACGCGCTCGGAGAAGTTAGATAATTTGCCCAAGGTTTGGCACTGGAGGAGGAACACAGGCATCTTGCCTGATGTCGAGCCGCGCTCCTAAGCATCTAAGCCACAATTTGTCACACTGGAAATGGAAGCCTTTCCCGCTTCCCACGTGCCGGGTCCGCCCCACTACTCTTTGATCTTTGCAATGCCGGCGGCCCTATTGACCCGGTTGTGAGTTATGAGGGCCGTGGGACCAGTAACCCAGCATTCTCGGACTCCCAGGGTCGGCAGGACACGGCGCCCCGCGCGGTGATGGATGAGCCGCCCAGAGGGCTGGCTTTGTCCCGAATGAGTAGCGCGCAAGACCGGTTAGAGAGAAGCAGATTCTTATTCATATTCTCTCTCTCTGTCTCTGTCTCTCTCTCTCTCTCTCTCTCTCTCTCTCTCTCTCTCTCTCTCTCTCTCTCTGTGTGTGTGTGTGTGTGTGTGTGTGTGTGTGTGTAGGTTAGGGGGTGTGTCTCTCCTTCCCTACAGGGAAAGGGGGTATAGGTGTGCCATCGGTACCGGGTGAAGTCCGATCACTTTGAGATTCTCATGCACACCCTCTTGGTAAAGGGACTTCTCTGAGAACCTCCCCCACTCCGCGCACTTTCTTAGGCTACAAAGGCCGCTCCGGCTGTCTGTCCCGCCTTCCCCGCCGCGGGCATTTCTTCCGTCCCATTTGACAGCCTAGGCGGAATAATCCTTTTGGGGACCCTGCCGGCTCCTGTCCCGTCAGACGCTGCTGCAGCTGAGCGCGCAGCCTGGACCTATTGTTGGGGGGGAGAGGGGTCCGCCAGGGACACCCCGCCGTTGCCCTTTGTCGCCCGCTCCCCTGCCGGGCAGCTCCAGAAGCACCACCTCTGCCCGGTGCCCCACCCGTCCCACGCGCCCCCGGGCCGCGCTAAGGTGGCTCTTACGCACCGGGAGGAGAGGGCGAGCCTCGCCCGGTGCCCACGCGGCCGCGGGGCTGCGCCCGCCTTTGTCTGCCTCCTTTGTCTGCCCCGCGCCCTGGCGGCGGCGCCAAGGCCTCGGGGGAGCGGGCGGCGATCGGCTAGCGCAGCTGGCTAGGGCGCGGCGCCCGCAGCGCACCGGGCTCGGCCGGGCCAGGGGCTGGCCCTCGACGGGGGGTCGCGAAGCCCCTCGGCCCCTCCTACGTCCCCTCCCCGAGCGCCGTCCCCGCCCCTCGCTCCCTCCCTCCCTCGCAGCCCCGCGCAGCCTCCCGCCGCCCGAGCACCTTTCAGCGCCGTCCCGCTCTACCCTCGACTGCGCTCGGCTCCCGCAGGCGCTCGGCCCTGAGCCCTCGGTCCCCTCCCCGGCCGCTGGACAGGTAAGACCCGGCTCGGCCCGCCCTTGGCCCCGCCCTCCGCTCACCTGGCGGAGTGCCCTGACCAAGGTCCGTTACCTGCTCTAAGGGAGGATGCTGCCTTCCTCCTGCTTTGCGACCCACGTGTCCGTCTGTCCGTCGGTCTCCTGTCCACTTCGTACCTCGTGTTCCCTTAACTCTTGGCTCTGTCCCAGGCCGCTTGCTCTACCCCCTGGCACCAGACTGGACACTCACTTTTTCGTGCTCTGCGCCACTCTGCCTCGCGTGCGACCTTGCCTCCCTCTCGGGGGTTCTGGGTCTCGCGCGCAGTCCTTCACTTTTAGCCTTCTCGGTTTGGGACCCAGTATCTTTTTGTCTCTGTTTCTGGGTGGTCTCTCAGTTGGGGGATTCGTCTATCACCGTTGGAAGAAGTCTCCAGAGACTCCCTGAACTGGGGCAGAGCTGGTCAGGGTGCCTCTGTCCCATTTGACGACGCCCTGGAGGCTGGGTGTGTTGGGGGGGGGGGGGGACGCTAAACTCACCCAAAGCTGGCATAGCTCAGCCTCACATTTGCCACCCTCGGCTGAACTACCACCTCGAGGGCACCCGGCTCCCTTCTCTGGGCTGGCTTGGTTCCTCTCCTTCCCCACCGCAGGGCTTTTCTCCATCAGACCAGACGGCTCAGCTGCCTTCTGAAGCCAGAGCTTATGTTTAAGGTGTAAGCATGACTGGGTTTCCCTGGCAAGTTTTGTTTAGCCACTCCAGCTGGGCACCCTCGTGGCCTTCACTCTTTCAGGTGGTAGTCCTTGCTGCTGTTAGTTGTCCCTCTAGGGCGCCAGTCCCTCAGTCTGGTGGCAGAGGAGGTGTTCTCAACTGCTCCGTTGCTGTCACTCTGGGCAGACAGGGGTGCTGGAAGTGAACGGTCTTGGACAAAGGAGTACGCGCGTGTCTGAGCCTCAGTGTCTCCATCACAAAACAGGGACAATAGGATTTACCTGGAGGGATGCGTGCCTGTATCTTAGGTACCTACATGGTGCTGGTGGGGATGGGAGAGGGACTATACCCTGGCTGGGGTAGGGTTGGGGGGTCTACAGAGCCAGTCACAAACTCCAGGCTGAGACCTTGGCACCGTCTGAAGCCCTATTCCGGGCAGTCTCCCTCTCACCCCTGTCAGGCTCCCACACATCCCCTGCCTGCCCATACAACCAGCCGCACTTACAGCGACCTCTCCCTCTGCATGAGCAATGTGGTGAGACTGCATGGAGCTGACAACGCCCTCGGTACATTTGGAAGGGTCTGTGGCGCTCGTCCCAGCTCTGAACCTCTGTCTTGCCCCCAAGCCGTGTTCCATGGTGCCAGCTCCGAGTCCAAGCAGTTCCCTTCTGGTAGGTTGACTTGCCAAGTCCTGAGCCTGCTTTTTAACCCCTCGACCTTCCCTCATTCATCTTCTGTGTGCTCTGTGATCAGAACAGGTGTTGGGGTTTGGGGTGGTCCTGGAGCCCAAGAGTAATAGGGCACACCCGGCATTGGGGGCACCGTCTGGAGATGCAGCCTTCTTTCCGTAGGCAGGGTGGAGGCTGCCCGGCTGTTTTTGTTTGAGCTGCAGTGTTTTCTTGCACTGAGGCAAGAGTGGAGATGGGGGCCTCCCGCTGCCCTACCCCATGCCGGATCCTGCTCCTGCCTGGCACATGAGCCCAGCTTTAACCGTTCTGACCTCCCACCGTCTCTGTTCTTGCATCCTCTGGTCCTAGCCTACAGGAAGCAAGCTCAGCAGTAACCGCTACACACACACACACACACACACACACACACCCCGGAAAGCTTACTCAGACCCTTCTTGCTCACTAAATGAAGATTGTCTTTCCAACCCCAGGCCTTCTGGCTCCAAGCGTGGCCACTAAATTAACTACAGAAACCTCTGTTGGCCCAGCCTCCCCCTCTGCCTTTCCCCACAACCCTATCCGCATCCTAGGTCTCAGTGGAAGGCCTAAGTGTCTCTGTCTCCTGACTTCCTCTGAGCCTTTGCTAGGGTGATTTCTCTTCCTACATTGTCTCTCAGTGCTGCGCTCAGGCCTAGCTTTGCAGGCTAAGACCCTGCATCTTCTTCTAGATGAAGCCTCCTGCTCCGCTTGGCCTCTGTGTCCCTCATGACCCCAAGGCTGGTGGAAGAATGTGTCTCCTTTCAGGGTGACCCCAGAGCCTGACACCCACTAGGTGTGCTGCACACACCTGGCATCCTTGGTCAAGAGAGCAGGCCATAGCATCTCCCTGCATTCTGTTGGGTCTTGCTGGCCAGACTAGGGGCAGAGCTGGCTCCAAGGCAAGGACTTTGGCTGGAGATGGAGCCACCAGGAAGTCTGTGTTTCTGGGGTTCTGCTGGGCTCTGAAAGATAAACGTGACCTCCTTTCTTCCTGGTCATCACATAGTCTGCCTTTGCATCCCAACGGGCCACTTCGCTGCTATGCCAGCTGGAGTAAGGTGGAGTGTGGTGGAGGGTGGGGGGCTATGCACCCAGGCCTCATTGACTCCTAGGAAGAGCAGAGGCTCCCTCCAATAGTGGCCCTGAGCATGATCCCTGGCAACAGGTCATTCCAGCATCCCTGTTCTGGCCCATTTGGCTAGGATCTGCTCTGTCTTGTCTGGCCTCTTCCTTTGCTGGTCCCATTCCAGTCCTTTCTCTACAGCTGTGGCCAAGGTACAGCTGGCCTGGCCTGCAAAGTCACTGGAGGGTAGCCAAATGCTTGCTGCTAGAGGACAAGTTCCTGGGTCCAGCTTTGACAAGCCTTGCCACATCATGGTATGGCATTCACCATATGGTACACTTCATTGCTAGGGTGATAAGGATGGTCGCCCTGCTGGAGTCCAGAGCAGGATGAATGGATGAGGAGGATCTTAGAGATGCTGGATGCTGAGTTAGGACCCCAGTGCACATCCCTGGTTCCTGGTAATCCCAGCAGCTACACTGGAACTGGTTAAGAACGGAAGCTCCAGGAGGCAGGCGAGACGGGTCAGCAATTAAGAGTACAGGGTACACACTGTTCTTGTAGAGGACCCATGTTTGATTCTCCGCAACTACACGGCAACTTACAACTGTCAACTCCAGTCCCTGAGGACTGGATGCCCTCTTCTGACTTCAGTTGGCACCTAGAATACATGCGGGACACAAACATACATGCAAACAAAACACCAACACACACACACACACACAAAGAAAAACTTAAAAAACAGAGTGGTAGCTTAAAGAATGGTTAGAGTAAATGGGTCCGGTGACTACGGGTTCAAATCCTGACTCTACCTCTGCCTCTAATATATGGATTGGGCTAGTCCCTCAAATCTTTGTCTTGACATAACTGTTACGCTATTTTATTCAGGCAAATGACTGGTTGATTGATTCATTGAGACAGGGTCTCACCATGCAGCCCTGGCTGGCCTAGAACACATTGGAGACCAGGCTAGACACAAACTCACAGATCCGCCTGCCTCTGCTTCCCAAGTGCTGGGATTAAAGGCTTGTGCCACCGCATACAACAGCTTTTATTTTTAAGATTTATTTTTAGTTTTGAGTAGGTGTGTTTGTGTGGGTTTGTACACATGAATGCAGGTGCCCACAGAGGCCAGAAGCATTAGGTCCCTCTAGAGCTGGACAGGCAGGTGGGTGTGAGCATCCCAATGTGGGTGCTCAGGTCTGGAAGAACAGCAGGCCCTGAACCACTGAGCCCTCTCTCCAGCACCTTCTGTGGTTATTACTCTCTGAAAGAGAACACCTTCAAAGGGCTGAATTAGACAATGCACATATCTAGGCCTAGACTAGGGGAAGCCCAAGGAATGACAAACAAGCATGTTCATTGTCCAGATGTGTGATTGACATCCAGAGAGGCTCCTCGGCCTGCATGGGGGTCACACAGCTATTGGAGCTGCAGCCACGATCTCAACCAACCTTGTCTGGCTCCAGGTGTCTCTCTGTTCTGCTCCAGCTTCTGCCGGAACCCGAGAGCCAGTGTGTTGTCACTTGAAGATCAGTGATATAGCTGAGCAAGCAGCAAATCATGTTCAGTAGTCTAGGTACCAAGACTGTGACATTTCTGGAATTTAGGGGTTGAGAAGTTCAGGAGGGGAAAAGTTGTTGAGTCCCCGTGATTACAAAGGGGCTGAGACCCAGTCAGAGTGAGTGAAGGAGCGTGAAGCTGAGTCGGGGCTCTGAGATGCCCCTCCATTTCCATGCAGTTTTCCTGGGGTGTGAGCAGGGTGTGTGTGCAAGGTGTGTGTGTGTGTGTGTGTGTGTGTGTGTGTGTGTGTGTGTGTGTGAAGAGTTACTCAGGGTTAGTTATTGGCACAATAAATACAGACAGGAACCACCTAGCCTCTGGATCCTAAAGGGAAGCCAAACTTCATTCAGCAAGACAAAAGTCCCTCCAGGCTGGCCTGGGATGGTCCTAATTCTCCTCTGATCACCCTATGAGGACAGACTGTGTACATGCACCTGTCCCTCCACTCACACATAAATGTTCTCGGGAACCTCCCACCCCCACTCTACCCTGACTTGTTCCCTCTTTCCCCACCCCACAGCTACAGCAGCAATGTTTCTGTGTTTCTAATAAACTTCTGTCTCCCTTAGGCCTCCCGATTCCCAGCATGTTTCAAGAGGAGAAATTGAGGCTTAGAATGGTTTAGAGATTTGCCCAAATTCCTTTCACTGTGCTTGGTGAAGCCTGCGCAGAGTTCATTGGGTTTGGGGTGTGTGTGTGTGTGTGTGTGTGTGTGTGTGTGTAGCTTATTTTTGTCTTTGTTTGAGGCACGATTCCCATGCTAGGCTGACCTCCAGTTTGCTATGTAGCTGCAAGCAGGGACTCGATGATGCCATGCCAGGGGTGCTCCATCTCCTGTGAAAAGGGAAGCAGGAGTCATGGACAATTCAACCCAAGTTAACTCATCCATAGCATCTTTGTTGAAGTACAGAAATGCCCCATCAGAAATGATTCCCACAAGAAAACATTCTTGCCTGGGCCTGGTAGCTCAGGTCTTT